CTTTGTGCAGCACCTCTTGCCTTATGGAGAAGGTAGGCAGGATTCCTAAGAAAGCACGGGGAAGCGCACTCGCTTGATCCTCTAGGTGCTCGATGAGCGCTCGCAGTTCAGGGTCGTCTCGTTGGAGTGCTGCCATGACGTTGACATCCAGAGCGCCGATAAAACCCTCATCATCGTCGCCTTCGATGCAGGCCTGACCGGCCTCGATCGGGGCCCTTGACAGGCAGTCGGCGTCATTGTGCTTCCGGCTGGACTTGTACACCACAGTCATGTCGAACCCCTGCAGTCGTAGGCTCCATCGCGCGAGGCGTCCGGAGGGGTCCTTCAGGTTGGCGAGTCAGCAGAGCGAGTGGTGGTCCGTGACCCCACAAAAAGGACCTCCATGCAAATATGGGCGGAACTTTGTTATTGCCCAGACGACAGCAAGGCACTTCTTTTCAGTTGTTGAGTAGTTCGTCTCCGCCTTAGACGGCGTCCGACTCGCGTATGCGATGACTCGCTCTGCCCCGTCTTGAATTTGGACTAGTACCACGTTAAGTCTGCTGTTACTGGCGTCCGTGTGGATCTCTGTTTCAGCGAACTTGTCGCAATGGCGAAGATTCGGGGTCGTCTGAAGTCCTCGTTTGGAATCATCGAATGACCGCTGGTGTTCTTCTGTCCATTCAAACTTTACGGCGTCCTTCGTGAGGTACGTCAGCGGTGCAGACAACTTGGCGAAGTCCCGAACAAACCGTCTGTAGTAGGCACAGAATCCGAGGAATCTTCTCACGGCCTTCTTGTCAGACGGTGGCGTAAATGCGCCTACGGAGCGGGACTTCTCGGGGTCAGGGAGAACACCTTTGTTGTTCACGACATGGCCAAGGAACTTTAGTTCACCATAGGAGAACCGACACTTCGTTGGTTTGAGTGACAGTCCGACGGTCTTGATGGCTTGAAGCGCGGCTCGAAGTCATCTCAGGTGCTCGTCGAAATCCTGTGAAAATACCACATCATCCAGGTAGACAAGGCAGCTCTGCCATTTCAGACCTGACCGCACGATGTCCATGAAACGCTGGAAGGTGGCTGGTGCCGCACAAAGTCCGAACGGCATCACTTGGAATTCGTACACTCCGCCAGGAGTGACGAAGGCAGTTTTCTCGCGGTCGCGTTCGTCGATTTCAATCTGCCAATAACCACACTTCAGGTCCATGGACGAAAAATATCGAGAGTGGCGCAGTCGATCTAATCTATCGTCGACGCGGGGGAGTGGATAGACGCCCTTCTTCGTTACAGCGGTCAGTCGACGATAGTAAACGCAGAACCTCAGGGTTCCGTCCTTCTTCTTTTAAAGGACGACTGGCGACGCCCACGAACTTCTTGATGGTTGAACGATGTCGTCGTCAAGCATTTCCTAGACTTGATCTTGAATCACCTTCCTTTCCTTTAAGGAGACTCGATACGGCGACTGGTGGACAGGAAGCGCGTCGTCGTCGGTAATAATGCGATGTTTCGCCATTGGTATTTTGCGAGCTTTCGACGACGTGGTAAAACAGTTACTGTATTCGGCGAGAAGATCAACCACCTGGGCGTCGGGGATACTGTTGTCAGCTTGTTTGTGGGGCAGCATCGCGTCGAGCATGGTCGTTACGTCCCTGCCATGCACCAGCTCAAACGGGGTTACACCTGTTGTCTATTGCACCACCGCGTTGTAAGCAAACGTGACGTAGGGTAACACCTCGTTTCAAGTTTTGTGCTCTACTTCGACATACATTAAGATTATGTCGGCGATAGTTTTGTTCACCCCTTCTGTTAGTTCATCTGTCTGCGGATGGTACGCAGTGGTTCGAAGGTGGCCGGTGCCACTGAGACGAAAGACCTGAACGATGATCCACGGTTGGTAATGAGGACTTCGGGGGCGCCGTGCCGCAGGACAATAGACTCGATTAAAAACTTAGCGACTTCAACAGCCGTACCTGATGGAAGGGCTTTCGTCTTGACATAGCGTGCGAGATAATTTGTGGCGACGATTATCCAGCGGTTTTCAAACATTGACAGTAGGAAAAGGCCAAGTAAATCCATTCCGATCTGCTGGAACGGCGCGGACGGGGGAAAAACCAAATGCAGTAGTCCTAACGGCTTGGTCGGCGGGTTCTTGCGTTGCTGACGCTCGTGGCATGATCGAGTGTAGAGGTGAGGAGTGTAGAGTGTACAGTGTAGAGGCGTCGGAGTGCGGGGTGCGACGGGCAAGTAGATGACGGCAGAAGCAGCCGTGGCCTGCGAATGGTTGGCCATCGTCGTCTTCTTCGGCCTGGGCTTGTCCGGCAGCAGACCCAATTCAGAGGACTGACCTCTGGTACGACGGCCCCTTCGGGCTTCGGTGTCTTCGCCGAAGGGTAGCCTTTCGGGGCTGAGCACGTCGCTTGGCCGGCATGTCGTTGGAGGGGTACGATTAACGGGCATAGAATGCAGTACGCTGCACCTCCAGAAAAACATCACGAATGACAATTGATTAGGCGATAATAACTGAGGATACTAAACGTTTAATGGGACGAACTTATGCCCAGAAATAAAAAGGGAACAAAAGAAAGCAGCTAGAGAGTGGCGGGCGTAGAAGTCGGCGTGATAGCAGAGTCGAACGCCGGGGGGCAAAACTGGCTGCGGCTTTCCACGTCCCGGGAGCACCTTTTGTAGCCCCGTGGTTCTCTGGAACACTCGGCCTAGAACTCTCGGCGCGTAGAACAATCGTTATTCGATCAGACAAGAAAGTTCTCGAATTTACGAGAACGCCAGGCAGAACGAATAAATAAGAGAACATTCCGCTCTCTGAAATCGAACCCACATCTTCCTCTCGAGAGTCAAGCGCGGTAACCACTCGGCCACGCACACGCTGACTCGCCGACGCGCGTGGCAGTGTACATCGATACCTGACCAAGAAATGGCAAAGTATTGTTAGTTGCTTCAAAGTGGAGCGCCTTATAAAAAGCCGTTTTATGATGTTGAGTTGAAGAGTTATTGTTCCATGAATTATTAAAAAACAATGCGAGGCAGCCACATGTTTAGTATACGCTTACGTTATTTGTGAAAATATCTTCCGGTGCAGATAAACAAAATTTAAAAAGTTCGACCACATTTTTTTCGGTAAGCACCGGCATTCTCAATTTAATTAAATTTTAAAATATTAAATATTTGAAAGATTTTTTTTATTTATAATTTTATTTACAAAGTGTTTTGCGTCGACGGAATTATTTTCAGGAATTCAACTATTATCAAATCTTAAATCGAACGTTTTATTTATCGTATTAATTATCGCACTTCTTGTTCTTAAAGAAACATCAATTTTCACGCGCTTTATCTTTGTTATAAGTACAAGCGCATAATAGAAGTTTCATATGAGCCACCAGTTTCAAAACAAATAGCCAGGGCCCTCACGCTACCCATAAATTGAAACACTGCGACAGCCGAGGTTAGACATCGTGGCCGCTAGGGTGTCATTACGGAGCCGATAAATTTAATGAATGGTAATGGGAGAGCGCGCGCACTGGAGTTCACATAGGCGGTTCATCTTAAACCGATTAACATATTGAACAAAATTCCATAGCGTTTTGAAACCAATGAGGATGGAATATTTAGAAAGCATTTCGTCAACCATTTAAACAATTTTATTGGACCCATACTAGGGCTGTCTGGTGATAATTCAACAAGGCTTCGAAAATCGCGCGCCCAAGTTTGAAATCCAGGAACCGACGAAACTGCATGCGTATGCATGAAGCGTTCCTTGTCGTTGGCGTGGCTGCGTGTACGCCTTATGAAATAATGTTGGGAAGAACCTAACACCGTCTTGTTGTCACCGAAGACCACTTCCGAAATCGCGCACTCATGTTGAAAGCGTTTGAAAGTGATTTCGCCTACTTTTACGCTTCTGGTATCGCCGGCTTAAAACCCACCTAGCCGTATTGGCTTGATTGCCCGAGAACTTTTCTAGATAATTAGTGAAAATGATTTGTTTATTGTTGTCATTATTAGTAGTGTCATAGTTATGTTTTTCGTGCCGCAATGGAATCACGTTACGATCCATTTGTTGCGTGACATCATCACGTCACGTGACTTACGGTGTCACCTTACGTCATTAATTTGCGCGGCGTCACTCTGATACGTGACTTGATATGGCACCGCCACATCATGACGTCAGCTGACACGAGGTAACAGGTGATGTCACGCAGGGCGTGACGTGAGAGTCGTATACGTGGCTTGCATATGACGTCATTTCCGATGAGCTCCAGAGAAAAGGGGAAGAAGGAACTCCCTTCTTATCAGGATCCTCCTTTGTGCCTCCCGGATTTGGGCAGGCGTCGCCATTCTCCTCCCAGAAGATTATAGAAATTTAACCCGTCACTCAAAATTCTTACAACAGCAGCTTCCCTCTCCTCCTTTTACATGGTGGTCAAAAGTACACGATGTGACGTCAGTGCAAGGCACCTATACAGCTTCGAGACGTCAGCGGCGCTACGTCAGTGTAGAAGGTTTTGGCGGAGTTTTGAAAATCGCCACCGTTGTTATGGAGCGCGATCGACGGCGCGAAACCCGCGAAGTCTCCTGCTAGCTACTATAGCGGTAAAATACATTCTTTGCTTTCTTCAGAGGCGTCTACCTGATGCAAGTGTTTGCGGGAATACATTCGGGACTTTTTATGCGGGTTTGTTTTGTTAAATATTCCGGATGTTTTTTTGTTACTCAGCTGGTCAATTCGAATTCACGTGACGTAGGGAAGCTTTTACGGCCTTCTAAATGTTTAGCGGATGCCATTCGACTTTTTTTGCAGAAATTAAGGTTTCTGTATTCTGGGCGTGGATGATTTGATTTTAGACGCGTTAGAAACTTTATTGTGCACCCCCCCCCCCCACCCCCCCTCCCACACACACACTCACACACACGGTTACATTTAATATCCTTGAAAACTCATTTTTCAACACAAATGTAGTTTTTTATTTAGTGCAAGAAACGACTGCAAACACCGCCTCACAAGTTGGAGTTGCCACGTCAGTTGCAGCTTTCGTCATACATAATGTATTTCTCTCCCACACCGCAAAGAAGATCGAAAACAAAATCACAACCGATGGAGTGATGACCAAGTTCGCTCTCGGGGACCAGAAGAGCACAAGCAGAATCTGCAATGAATGCAATAATTAATTTATATGATCCGAATAATTTTATATGAACTGAGTGCGAAAACAAACTGTTTTTAATCAAGCGAATTAAAACGTAGGAGCAAATACAGTGTTCAAATGTATACACTTTTTAGATTCCTCTTTGCCACTATGTGGTGCAAATGGAGGCTAGAAAAAGAGGCTTCAAAGAGGGAGCGAAGAATTCGACTGGATGGTCTGTTCGTTAACACTCGGGGAGACCATTGAACCTAATATATAATTATAAGATACGTTCATATTTTTGCTCTGATAAAACTGTAAAATATGCCATAGAAATTTTCAAAGCACTTCACACGAGTAAGCGTTCTTCCTCGCTACAGAATGCAATCTTACCGTCTACATAGACGTTTCTGAGTAGAACACACTTCTTGCAGTCCAGGTAAGCGACGTATAACAGGATAGAAGTATTTCCTAAGGAAATAAACGACACCACCTTTATAAATTTTCTGATAAATAAGTAGTAATCGTTTTTGTAGTATATTTTAACTTATTAAAAGCAGATATGTACAAGTTACTCAGAAAAAGTAATTAAGTTAAGTTTCTGAGAATTGCCTTCAGGAGTAATTTGAGTCGAGTATGATAATACTAAAAATAACTGAGTACATTACCGCAACCGTAAAAAGTAAAGAATTACATTTGAAGCTACTTTTATATTTTTTATGGTGACAGTAAAGTGCATATATATATATGTTTTGACAGAAATGCTTTAATGGCTTGTTCTGCTCGTTCGTGCCTAATAGTTTTGATTTTTTTTCAAAGATTATGTATTGTGGATGCATCATTTATACTTTAATGTTGAGGACTGCCTGAGCTTGACTTTGCAGACAGTGTTTGATTTTTTACAGTGTGAGTAACGTACATTTAAAATGTGCTCGAAGTAAGTACAAAGTAAATAAGAAGTTATGTACTTCAAGTGCATAATCTCAAGTACAGCGAGTGCAATGTATCTGAAGTGAACTGCTGTAAACACAATATGCTTTCACAGTAAAATAGAAGTACTTCTTAACACAATCTTTCATGATGCCCTTTTGTACCCTATGCAGTTTTTTTAGCTGGTATGCGCTTCTACGGGAGTAATCGGAGGTGCATCAATTTTTGTCTTAAATGGCAGCAAATATTGAATTAATTCGAGTCCCGACAGAGTAGCTGTATTACTATAGCCGACAAACTATTTAATACGATCAAATTATAAGGCACTTATTTGTATCGGTCTGATAGCCGTCATTACTTCACTCAGAGAATTTACCAAATCACGTCTTTTACGTGATTTGGTAAATTACTAGGGCTCATCATTTTCGTTGAGTATGATGCGTTCTGTTTAGCATCCGACAAGTCTGTTAGGTAGATTTAGTTTTCTTCATCATAAAACAAGTGGTTCAGTTGAGTTCTGAATGTGAATAGAAAATAAGAATAAACGCAACATTAAAGTGTAAAATCTATAGCGTTGCCAGCATCAAGTTAGAAATGACAAAAAAGTTGCATCTAATTTTGACCCATAATTTTTCCGGTTATTTAAACTTCCAGAAGCAACTAATATTTTAGTTGGTAACGAAAGACCGACTGTCCATAAATTTTGCTTACCTTCACCTCGGATATTAACAACGTTTTTAGCGATATATCCGTCAGATGAGTCAAGAGTCACCATCGAATTTCTGCAATAAAAGACGCAGAAAAAAATAACAACTAGGTTAATCTGCACCAGACAAACATTCAGAAAACTCTACCACAGTTCTACTCCATCAGCCAGTCAGATCTCGAGAATAAACAACTTATAGAGGTACAAACCTTAACAAAGAGGTGTCTTGAGCCCATATCTGAGAAAAAGACAACTACAGTATAATATATAAAAAGTAACAAGATTTAACTTTGTAAATTGAGGGCGTACTCCTAATTTGCGTATACATAAAAGAAAAGCCACAAAAATATTGTCAAAGCTAAAAAACACAACATAAGTTTTATAGTTTTATGTTGTGAAATCATTTCTAAATAATTACAATGGAATACCCGGCAACACCATTAAAATAATTTGGCAACCCTAACGAATTGGCCAAATATTTTAATAAATAGAGTGAATCTATGAAGAAAACGTTTTATTCGGTCGTGTACGAAATGGTTTCATTGTGTTCCGAAACTATTTTTTAGGTTAGGAACAAACCTAAATTTAATATATGATTTAAAATGATTATGCCATGGACTTTGTACTCTAGATATTGGGTGAAACTAAGGGAGTTAAACATCAAAATGAGAGATGCAATATCAGTATTGTTTAGATATTGAAGCTTACAAAGAACTTATACGTATTTTCATGCATGCAACCAATACTATTTTCGTACTGTTGATTAACTATTGCAAATCTTATGCCAGCAAGAACAAAATTATTAAAAGTGGAATTGGCTTGACTGGTGATATAATTTTTAATAATCAAGCAGATCGAGTTGTACAAGAATAGAGCATCAATTCTCCAATTATTTACTTTTCTTTGTATAGAACAAGTAGTTTTTTTGTAGTAGTATAAACATAGAAAAATGGTATTATTTTATACTTTCGGGATAGAAAAATATTATAAAGTGAATTATGAAAAAACTATTTTTCAAGCTTTAATATTATATTTCTTATTTGTTATTGTCGTTGATTTACACTGCACCGAAGCACACACAGGCCTCCACGCGTTGCGTGAGCAATGTTTGGTATAAGAAAGGCTATGAAGTAGCCAAAACCGAATAGAGCTCGCCAATATTGACATAGTAGAGACTACTGCGTCTTACGGAACCCAATTAACAATACCCAAGACATTCTAGAAAACCATAGCTAACTGTTTAGTTATCTTGAATCTGCCATTACACCAGTACAAGCCTGGCAATTATGTTACCGCAAAAGCGTACCGCCCAACGCACCCACAGCTCCGCATACCCAATGCCTTGCGCACACCCTCTTGCTTCCGCGGGCCAATCTTGAGAAAGCGCTCTTGTCAAAATTTACGAGGAATTGAAGTTCCCGTAATCCCATGTATTTATTTTTAATAGCTGGTACTTGCACAGTCTGATTTCCAAATTTAAATATTGTCGGGAATTCACCGTCTACTTGTTCGTCCATTTCATAATCATAGATGCACTTAGCCGTGCCCCCAAGAACTGGATCAAACTCGTAATTTCTGTACACTGTATACCAGGACTCTTCTAGTGGGAAACACTGGATAAAATGAGGGTAAAAGCAAAGGTAGCTTTGCATATTAGACTAACACGTTGTAATACGCATATACGACCACAGCTATTGCTTCGCTTAAACAAAAATCAAAATACTGGTAATAAATAAAGTAAAAACAATCTTCTCAAGGAGTTACCATTATTTGAAAGAGAATTTTTGAAACCATCAAAATGCATGGACACGTCCTACCTGTGGCATCATTAATTCATCATTTCAATCATAATCTCACCACATATATAAACAACGACTATATTCAGTGCTCAGTCAACAAACCCGAAATGAAAATATTAATTCCATTATTGAAAAATTCTGCTGACACTACTTCAGTCATCAATAGTCATTGAAACTGAATATTGCGTAGAATAGACACAAACCCTTTTCTGCACCTAACTTTGACTAAGTTTCCTCAGTTAGTCAAAGATCAAGCCACGCGATAATCCTTTACGTATGATCATATTTGACTGGTGGGCTTTACTTAATATTCGTTGAAAACTTACAAGAAAGTTTATGTTGGAAATTGTTTTCACACTTATAATACTATAGCACCAGAGAACAAAACAACTAAAAACGCCCGAAAGCCTCCCCTTCGCTCGAAATTTCATTCTCTGCTTCTATCACGTGGATCAGGTGTAGTAATGGCCCATGGAATATACCCGCATGGATATTTTTCTTTACATATCAAGCTGAAACTTTGAATGCATATTTAAAAAAAAATGAGCTTACAGAATTTAAGAGTAGAACATCGAGGGGGGTAAATTGTTTACGTTAGATGACCATTGGCAAATAAGGTATCAACGTTTAGTTTATTCACACACTCGAATAAATTAATTGTTCGAAATTTTGAAGCTCGATTGCCAACACTTTAGGTTTCTTTTGAATAAAATAATGACGCAATGCGTGGGCAAATCATTCCTGCGTTCTATTTAAATGTTCAACAACCAACTGAACTTACGTAGTATTTGTTTTAAAAGTACTGTTAGCCGGTGTAAATATCTACAGGACACGTCACCTTAAGTACAAGGCATAAAACCTCTAGCTTGGGTTGGGACCATATGCTTTCAATCGTTGCTTTGTCGAGAGGACTCGAATTTTCCCAAAACGTTCATTATTCATCAAAGTCCGTCTCAAATATGTAGAAAAAAATAATGCGATACCATACTTTAGCTACTTCAAACGGTTTTCGCGATACGCTGTCTGACCTCGTATGCGCGTCGTGCGTACGCGCCGCGCTTATGCGGAGGCGCAGCGCGGTAGAGCGGTGGCTCCGCATACCCATGCCGTACGCATACGGAGGCGCCGCGCGTACGCGGACGTCGCCCTCGACGTCGTCATAGAGGTCGCTTTAAACATCGTCTTTGACGTCGTGTTCAACGCTGCCCTCGATGTTATTCTGGAGACCTTCCTAGAGGTCGTCCTAGAAGTCGTTCTAGACGTTGTCTCTGACGTCGTCCTCTAGGATGTCATTCTAGAGGTCGTCCAGGAGGTCGTCCTAGACGCTGTTTTTGAGGCTGTCTTAAAGGTCGTCCTAGAGATCGTCCTACATGTCGTCCTTCAGACCGCCGTAGTGGTCGTCCTAATGGTCGTCCTAGACGTCATTCTGAACTTCGTCTAGGTCGTCGTCCTCGACGTTTTCCTCCCAAGCAGATAAGCCCGCGCCGCGCATAGACGAAGCGGCAGAACCCACAGGTTCACCTCTGCGGCCAAGCTACGAAGGAATTATCGGTTTGAGTTGAGCTATTTGCCACATGGTCAATGATGGTGGAGAAAATGTTTGAACATCAAACGATTGCACAGAATGAACAGGACACAGACACTAAACTGCAATGATGGTAGGGAAGTAGTTTGAACATTAAACGATTACACGGACGCAAAATTGTAAACAATTACACATAAAGGAACCAGTCACTAAACTTCGAAATCACGCGCTACAGTCGCACTGACGTCAGTGATTACGTCGTAAACTATTCGTAAAAGAAACAGTTTACTCAAAATATGCGTCGTCGCTTTCACAGTGAGCTGCGTCTTGAGCATCATGACGAATGCTATCGGAATTTATAAACAACCAACAATAGCGGTTTATCTGGCCCTTTTAACGCTTCCCATTAAGCGTTAAGTTAACCAAGATTGATGATAGGAGCATACCCAATAAAAATACTGACAGAAAAGCCTGATTCAGTCGGCTAAAAGAGGTCTCCGTTATTGCGCTGCACATTGTAGGTTACTTTGAACCATGAGTGTTCCAAAACGCAAACAAAATTAGCAAGGCGAATGAACTCGCTCCGCATTCTATAAATTAGTTACTGCTGTGGTGCTTTATACTTCTGAAATCTTTTATCAAATATAATTGTTCAAGAAATACTGAAACTAGTATGTTTTGGATACTAGATTTCCTGTTACAAAGTGCAATGAAATAATGTTTCATTAATATAATGTTTTATTTTTTTAATATTATGATATTAGTGAAATCACCATAGCTTACGACAGTCTTAAAATATTATAGCGATATTTGTTATAAATGCACTACTCATGCAACGTAATGCCCTATTCTTTTTTACCTATATTGTTTCGTATGTGAAAAATAGTTCATATCACGGAGCATTACCATTATTGCGCAGTGTTCACTCCACCTTTCAATTTTATTTTGTATTTCAATATTTCGTTGTTTACAATATATTCAGAGCCCAACTTTATCCGTAGCGTACTAAGTAAAGATCCTCTTTTTAGTCGGGCTATTTTTTTACGTACCATCGTGCTTCGTATTTCGAAGGCAAGTTCTACGGAGTAAAGACGGGGATACTATGTCCTGAACATAGTTAAAAACTTGCAAAGCCATAGTGTCTTCTCTACTCAGGAAATGAGGAAGTAAAATGTAACACACAAAAATTGATCTATATTTACTCTCGGAAAATCGTTACTGTAAATATTAAAAAAAAAAAAAAAAAAAAAAAAAAACTAGATATGCTGTTTGGATTTAGAGTAGTTGGTAAACTTAAACACTCGTGCTAGGACATTTCGCATAAAGCTATTACCGGCACCGTTGCTCCTTTGAGTCTCCGGAGAGACACATCCGTTTTAATACTAGGTAAATGTTACTCGAAACATACATCAAACTGAAGACAGGAAAGTCAAACCGCAAATATTACCTTAGATTCGTCTTGATATTTTTCAAGAGCTGGATTTAACTCTGGCCATGTGGGAGTTCCACAGGATACGTGGACATAAATTAAAGTGATTCCTGAAAACAAATATTGATACATGCTTGAAACAGCAATTTTGGCTCTTGATGAAATTCAACTGGCGTGTAGCTGTGGCTTTTCGTGCTATAACTCCGGATTTATAAAGGGGGGAATTGCGAGACTTCGGTTTTTGTTTAACGCTGCAGCTGGTAATTTTAGTCTGAACCTACAGAAAA